TAGTAGTGTTCCGATGTCCCCCCACCCACTCTCTTTCCGAAGAGTGTGCATGCTGTCGCTAGACAATGAGAGCCAGGACAATAACAAATTCTCACTTAAAGCCCAAAACACCCTTTGTGGAGGTAGAGTTAAGCAAGTTACTCTTTCTTGCATCAGCAGGGCCTGCTACACATGTTCACGTCATTTTTGAACATTGGAGGCCCACCTCTAAATCCTCCTCTATGTGAGTGGATAGAAACAACCTTTTTTTCCCAGCACCTCCCCTGTTGGATTACAAAAGTAGGTGTTTAAGAGTTGGAGAAACTAGAAGTGCCGCTTACCTTATGATAGCTTTGACTGCAAAACGAACCACAGTGGAGAGCAGGAAGAGTGGTGTGACCAGGATGTGAAACAAGGACAGTGAAGCAAAGGCCTGGGCAGGTTGCAGTGGTTTCTCATTGGTGTATGCGTAAGTCACGAAGGTCTGTGACATTAGGAAAATAGCATGTTAGGATAAGGATTCTTGAAAATGATGAACAAATACAGAAAGAAAAATATTTTGCTCAGCTAAGGCAAATAACTATATACTTCAATTTATTTGGAATCCCAGTAAAGTAAAAAGAAAGTTCTCTTCTATTAAAGTGAAAAAAAATTTAAAAAACTTGCCAATGATTTCAAGAAATTAACACATTTAAGAATGAAGAAAATTTCTTTGTAAAATCATAGAATCATAGATTGTGTTGGGTTGGAAGGGACCTCTAAAGGTCATCTAGTCCAACATTCCTGCAGTGAGCAGGGACATCTTTAAGTAGATCAGGCTGCTCAGAGCCACGTCAAGCTCAACCTCGAAGGTCTCCAGGGATGGAGTCTCTACCACTTCTCTGCGAAACCTCTTTCAGTGTTTCACCATCCTCGTAGTGAAGAGTTTTTTCCTGATATCTAATCTAAATCTACCTTGCTCTGGTTTAAAACCATTGCCCCTTGTCCCATTGCTACATGCCCTTGTGAACAATCCCTCCCTAGCTTTCCTGTAGGTCTCCTTCAGGCACTGGAAGGCTGCTATAAGGTCTCCCTGGAGCCTTCTCTCTGCCTTTTTGTAAGGAAAAGTGAAAAAATCATATCTTACCGCAAGAACAGCTGCTATTGGTATGGCTGCATTCATGAAAACTGTGAAGGAGAAATAAAATAGGCATCAGATTATAGGAAATAAGAAAAAACTGGTTTACAGTTAGTTGTGTGATACTAGAAGAATACAGTTATTTGAAATGTAAGTAAAGTTCCCAAATCAAAACTGCTCTGCAGGAAGAAATTTCCTTCCATGACAAGAGAGAGATCTTTAAACAAATAAACCAAGGAATTATCTGTTATGTGCTTAGTGAACTGTATAAAAAGTTTTGTGTGCAAAATTATTATGCAACACAACTAAAACATTATCTCTCAGCTTTCCTACATTAAAGAAAATACAATTTCTTTCAGACACTAATTTGTCTTTGCTGTAATCTAAGCTGCTAACATTTCCTGGACTCTTCTTACTATAAAGCAACTCATAACTGTAACGTGATAATGAAGGTGTCAGAAACCTTGTTACCAAAAAAAAACCCCAACAAGATACAATTATATTTTCAAGCTTCTGTGTTGTATATTTGGCATGCCTTTTTATTGTAATCACATTCCACGCACACCAAAAGAAGCACCATCGGCACAGCTGTATGTCACTTCAGTCAAAGTCAGGAGGAATGTTGACAAGAACAGGATGTGTTTCTGAGCAATAAAAATGTAGCTACTTACTGGAAAGAGATGTGTGAAGTGCAAAGGTTTTGAGACTGGTGAGTTCCTTCATTCTTGTTTCTTCCACACTAGTACAAAATATGTGTTCCCAGGCATACAGCTTTAATAACTTGATGCCTTTCAGTATCTCATTGGTTTTCTTTAATCTCTCAGTAGAATAATCCTTCATTTCAAAAGAATACAAGCATAAGAATTTTGTAATAGTATTTAGTTTTAATAAGAAAACTCTTCTCCCTTCACTCCTGTTGTAAAATTTGTTGCAGATTCACATTTTTTTGTTTGTATTTTTGTACAGGTTTTCAGTTGAAATAAACAATATAAAATTCTATGTTCTTTGGAGATATTGAAATGTTTCCAGGGCAAATTGACACTGTTCTGTAAAGAAAAATAAACCAAAACATTTGAACCCTTCAAACAGAGAGTGAAACTCAGGGAGGTGGATTAAGAGATCGATGGTGTCCATAACACCATTGACAGAAGACTACATGTGTTTAATTGCTGATACACGATTCATTCTGCAATTCATACAGACTGATCACACAAATAAGTGAGATACTTGTTGATATATTTAGCTAATTGGCCCTCACCGAAAAACAGTAATCGTAAGTGTTTGTAAAATCATAACCTAAAAGATGTTACGAATTGGAGGAATTCAGAAAAGAGCAAAAGAAAGATTCAGATTATTTCTTAAATTATGCTAAGATAAATCCTCTGTATAAATGGCACAACTCAACAGGATTGAAGTGTGCTGAAGATCAGATCCTTGTATGTATAATTTGCTTATTGAATATTAAGGTAACAAGGATCTTTAAATATTTGACTACTCAAACATCAAAGGTTGATTAAAAAGTTCAGGGATCACAAGAATAAAGTTAAAAATTAGACAAAGTATCAGAAAACATATTGGTGAACTAAATTAAGAAAATAAATTTACAGCACTGAAAAAAGTGTAAAAGAGCTATTAATCCAGAAATGCCAGCTGAATTTTAGAGAAAAACAAAGCTTGGGGGGAGAGCATCATGTCCCTAAGCCCTTTCAGATGGGGTTGTACACATTCTTTAATACTGTCCTCTCATAATTTATTAGTCATTTGTACTGTTTGCTAGCATCCCATGAAATATGACATCTGAATGCAGGAATAACATCCTTTCACGAAACTGAATGCAGATGGAACTGTGCTAGCTGGGTGAAAACTGCAGAGAAGGCAGGTCAAGGCCCACATACTTTTTTTAGATTCTTGTCTGACAAACGTTAGGAAGGAAGGGATACTGACCCACAGAAATATAGGAAAGAAGGGACGATAGAATTAAGGGACAGCTTGCGCAGATCTCCACAATGAGTGTTCACTTAAAACAACAACGGAATCCAGAACCCATGGTTCCCTGTTCTCAGTTCTGGATCACATACATCACTGAAATTATCTACTTACAAGAGTGCTCTTCTGAGCCTCAGCCAGCTTCGTAGCTATGAAGTACTGTATCGGAGCTAACAGTACAATGACAGCAGCACCGACCAAGGCACTCACTCCGAGTAAATTGTATAGTAGGATAACGCCCATTATTATCTGTGCAGAAGAAAACAACATAAGGAAAAAAAAGTAGATTTCAATATGTGAGAATGATAGCAAGAAAAAAATATTTGTTCTTTTAATAAACAGCTAAATGGTTCATAGCAATCAGCTGAGCCCGTACTTCACAAGGTCATGTTTGGAAAGTGTGGGAAGTTAACTCAGAAGCCTTTATTTTTGTCATTAATTGCATAGTTTGTGTTACTGCCTGGTAGTCCTAATTCCAGAAGAGGTTTCCACAGAACTAAAGGAGCACTAAAACGATGGTACTTGCCCCAAGGCATTTTACAGAATCACTGGCCTCAAGTCACACTTACACTAGTGCTCCTGACATCACTCTGGAAGTATTCAAAGGTCCCAGGACTGTCATGAGTCACAGTTCCACTCTCTCCTAGTGGTTCTCTTGCAACTGCAGACAGAGGCACATCTAAAACAGGCCCTGAAGCATGAGGCAGATGTGCTGGAGGCAACACAAACCTGAGCTCGTGCATCAGTACCATATAGCTCTGTAGGAAAATACCAATATGCTACCATATAGCTCTGTAGGAAAATACCAAGATGCTACCATAGCCTTACAAAGAGTTTGGGAGCACTTTCCACAAAAGTTTACCTGGGAATGCTCTGATGCAACTACAGTGATTCTGGTTCCTGGGTTAATACAAGCTCTACCACATAAGCATTTTTATTAAAAGCTCCACTTTATGACACAGAGATGTCCTCAGCGATAATAGGACATACAGAACTAGTTCCCTAGTTTGTATTTTTGTTCTCTCTCAAACAAGTCAGTTCTGTCTTTAAATCTGCCTTCACAACATATAATACCAGAAATAAGACTCCGTGGAGTTCAACATTCTGAAAGCATTATTTAGTTTTTCTGGCTTCTGTGATGTAAATTAGCATACCTAGATGCCATTTTCTTAGCAGAATAATACAAGGTTACAGGTAGCAATTTGTACTTGCCATAAACTGAAGCCCTTAGTAGGGCTCTGATTCTGTAATGAATTTTTGTACTTTATAGCAGGCTATAATTAGTGGATATGAAATCTGTTTTCTGAGATTCACTCCAGTGAATTATAGCCAGTATGGCTATAATTGATCACACTAGATGGATACAAGCTCAGTATTTGCTATAAGCTGTTCTACTGGAGGAGGGAGCAGCCTTGACAATTGCTGTTTCTTGGGACATCCCTTGAAGCTCAACTCTTTTGCATAAGGCAAGATGGGATGGTTCTATCACCTTTTCCATAGTGCTATAGTTATAATCCAGCTCATAGTTACCAAGGGTTAATTTCTTCCTTTTTTGGCCCCCAACAACAGCCATTTGAGCTTATTAAGCAGAAAGGCATGTTTCCACAAACCCAGTGTCATTGGTATCAGCTGCATAATATTTTGAGAAGGAAATATTAAGTATTTGCCTTTCAGTTTTATTGTTTGAGCATTTCTGCTGAAGAGCAGGAGGAACCCGTGTATACCCTTGGCTACAGGTGCTCACTCACCAAATGCACTCATCAGGTGCAAATTCACAGCTGACGCTGATTCCCAGCCAAAGCTATGGTCAAAATATCCTTGTGTTCCCTGTCTCCTGATTGCTTGAAGGTAAATTACAGGAACCAGCAAAATCATCAGAAGCTTTCTCAAACTAGCCTTTTACAGTAGTGGTGAGGAAAGCTGTTAAATTTCTGTAGTGGATTGGACAGAGACCTTATTAAAGAGACAAACAAGTGGTGAATTTAGGGTACATATAATTATTCACTAGCCACAGCAATCAGACCACTTGTCCATTTAATAAAATTCAAAGTGTTAACAGCAATGCTTCCAAATAAACCTGGATGTGAGTGACTTAAAACGAAACCCTCTGTATGATTTCTAACTTCTGTTGTTGCTATGTAAACTTTTTTGCCTTTGTCTCCATGAGTTATTTTCTGACTCACTAAACCATAACTGACAGTATGGTTTAGTAGCAGTAATATTAGCAATATTGCTGACTACTGACATAGTTCTAGGAATTTCAGCAAAACAGGTGTAGTGTAACAATGGGTTCTATCCCTTTTAAAACTTTTTTAATGTCAGCAGGATCACGTGTAGGTAAGGACCATGACAATCCCACCCCAGACAAAACTTTTGAAGGTGCTACAGGAGTCCGAGGTTCATGGCAAATCAGCATGGCTTAGGTCATTAAGTCATTCAGCACTTTTGAAGATTTCTTTCGGGCTAATAGTTTTTATCCTTCCTCCCTACAGATCTGCCTACAGATCTTTCACAGCCTTGTTAAGAACCAAATGTTTACAGTAACTACGCGTGTTTAGATGAGAGCTTGTCTGAGCATTTCATGCAGCACACTGTCAGTGCTGCTATCAGTCACTGGAGCAAGTTTCAATTGCTTTTTGTTCCTGCCACAAAACATAGTTGCAAGTGGCCACTGCAAATGCAATAATCAGCGCTGGTCAGATGCCTGTGCTGCTGCCATATGGCAGAAATAAAGCAATGCCTTGTGTCAGTAGTGGAAGAAATATAAGCAGGAAAAGACTAGCAGGTCATCATCCTTAAAGACATAGACCACATCCATGACATGGAAATCCTGCTCGAAAAAAATCCTCATTCTTTACTGCAGAGACAGCCTGTCAGCCCTTGGAGGAGATGATGGGCCACGTTTCTGCTTGTTAGTCTTCCTGGCAAACGACTGTGAAGTCCGGGTTCCACTTTCGATTTTGCAGTAGTCTCATAGACACACACTCTTTTCAATTAGGTTGGAGGATCTCTGAAATCAGGCCCTTACTTTGATGCTCTACCTGAACAGGCATTGCCCACAGATTAGGGCACAGGAACAAGAACCACATTAATTGATTTGTTTCTATGGCAACCAAGTTATTGATTTGTCCCAGCGTCATCTCTCCCATGGACAAGTTGGAGGTGGAAAGCCTCAGTATCTTATTGTATATCATGGCCTGTGGGAAAGAAATAAAATGGAAGATATGAATATGATATTATTATAAAACAACAGTAGCATCAGGACATTTCAAACCGTGGTATCAGTCTTTACTAGAGACAGCCCTTCTCCCAGTCTCTCACCTGAGACAGAGAGAGAGATGGAGACAGAGTGAAAGAAAGCATGTGAGACAACTGACTTAAAAAAACTCCAATTCCTCTTAAAAGGTTTGTTGCTTAACGCAGACCTAAAATGAAACAAAATAACAAGAAGATATCAAAATTTAGGAGACTGGGCAAAGATCCTTTTTCAAAAAAACACTTGTCTAGCCTGCTTTCTTGGGACACTGTCTATCAAAGAGATATTAAAGTGTTTCAGATAAGATAGTGAAATTCATGCTATGAAATTTTGGTCAGGGTGGGCATGTGTTCTTCTGGGTTTCTCTCCTTCACCTGGCCATCTATTTCCATAAAACTTGTAGGAGCTCAACAGAGTTTGAAATTTATAATGACTTATATTTATCAGAATTTTAAAGACAAATATTGCAAGCCCAGTTCACAGTTGTGACGAAATATCAAACACTTCAGCTTCAAAGAAGTTTTTAAAATGATTTGTGCTCTTTGCTATGCTTTGTCCATGAGCAATTCCTGTAAAATTAATCAGAAATACCTACAGACAGTGGTGAATTACATCAGCTGCATATGGTCTTAAGAGTCCCCATTTTGGTGACTGGGAGTCACAAAAGCACAAGGAAATAATCAGGTACTGTTTCTTCACCAAGTCTGTACCATCTGTCCTGGGAGATGGCAGAAAATGCTACATCGACCACAGTGTGCACCAAAAAAAAAAAGAAGCTTCCATGCTGAGATGATATTCCTGTGGTTAGTTACACCTGGCAAAACATCAGTTCCAGCTTCTGTTCCGCACACAGCGCTACTGGCGTCTGTGGAATTTGGTCTGCGGAGATCCCTGCTACAACCCACCCACGTGCTGAGCTGGAGCTGCTGGCTCCAGTTCATAAACACGGCTTTCTCAGAGGGTTAATGGATGCTGGGTTTAGAGATACAGTTTTGCAGATGAATCACTCCTCTTCCATCCCACAGGCCTCTGTGCAAAAGGGCATAAATATTCAGAACTGACACTCATGACACATGGACAACGTTCCTGTAAAACATAGCTTGGCCAAAGACACTCTGCAGGTGACTGTTCAGTCAGCAGAAGTCACCTCATAAGCAAATGAACAAAGCAGATGCGGAGCCAAAAAGACGCTGCTTATTTTCACATACCTGACAGCAGCTGCATGTGTTCTTACATGCACAGAGGGAGTGTTAAACTTCTACATGTTAGCATGCTGAGTTCAGTTTTTAGCTAAAGGAATTGCTGCCATCAGTTTGGCTATGTCAGTGATACTATTTTTCCAGTTTTCTGCATAAAAATGCAGTGCATATCTTCTCTCAAACAACGTTAACCGAGTCCTCAGAAAAAGACCAAGACAAGTGAAAGTACAAAGCTGGAGCTATTACTAGTGTAGGGTCCTGCATTTTGGTCATGGCAACCCCATGCAACGCTACAGGCTTGGAGAAGGGTGGCTGGAAGGCCTTTTGGCAGAAAAGGACCTGGATGTTCTAATTGACAGTCGACTGAATATGAGCCAGCAGTGTGCCCAGGTGACCAAGAAGGCCAACGGCATCCTGGCTTGTATCAGAAATTTTGTGAGCAGCAGCAGAAGGGAGGTGATTGTCCCTCTGTATTCAGCACAGGTGAGGCCGCATCTTGAGTATTGTGTTCAGTTTTGGGCACCTCAGTATAAGAGAGGTATCAAGGTGTTGGAGCGAGTGCAGAGGAGGGCAACAAAGCTGGTGAAGGGCCTGGAGAATAGATCTTATGAGGAGCAATTGAGGGAGCTGGGTCTGTTCAGTTTGACGAAGAGGAGGCTGAGGGGGGATCTCATCATGCTCTAAAATTACTTGAAAGGACATTGTAGAGAGGTTGGTGCTGGTCTCTTCTCACAGGTAATTAGGGACAGAACCAGGGGGAGTGGTTTCAAGTTGCAACAGGGCAAGTTTAGGCTGGACATTAGGAAGAAATTCTTCACAGAAAGGGTGGTCAGACACTGGAATAGACTGCCTAGGGAGGTGGTTGAGTCGCCATCCCTGGATGTGTTTAAGTATCGTTTACATGTGGTGTTGGGTGATAGGGTTTAGGGGTGAACTTGTAGGGTAGGGTTAATGGTTGGACTTGATGATCCCAAGGGTTTTTTCCAACCTGAATTGTTCTATGATTCTAGTGAATTTCTTGGCAGATCACGGGAATATCTTTGCTCACCAGTAAAGCACCTCGTAGGTTGATGCCAGTTTCTGTAGTCACATAGTAGGACGCCTGCAGGAATGTCCTCTGCAAGATGAGGGCCAGGAAGAGAAGAACTGCCAAAACATAAACATTCCTGAGGAATACCTCTGAGGAAAGATATGAATTTGATGGATCCTTCACCTGAAAAGAAAGGAAAAAATTACTGAAGTGGCATAGGAGAGACTATATATTCTTGAGATGCTGGAAATGAGGAAATTGAGTCACTGCATTAGAATAAAAAATATTGACGGTATTATGGGACAGTTGTGGAAAGCAGATTTCTCTCTGTCCTATGTATAAAAATCATTTGGATACAAATTAAATATTCTGCTCATGTTCCAAAGACTTAGGATCTTAACTTAGCGGTTCTAAAATGAATTTGTTTTAGCAGGAAAGGGACAATGAGGTCCACATGTCTGCCTTATCTTTAGTTTCTTCATCAAATTCTGATGATTTGTAGGGTAGAAAACAAAGCTCTTTCCACCTGCTCCATGAAGAAGCAGTAAGAATTTTTATTTTTATTATATGGGAATAGTTATTTATGTTGCATATATATATAATGAAAACATAGTCTATGATAACTGTGAATTATGGATAAAATAAGAATACATATGCCAGTATTCCCCACAAAATTGGATTTAAATGCCTCCACAAAGGGAGAAAGAAATCTTGTTTCAGTCACTTTATTTGTTTTGATTTTCTAGTTTTTATATTCACTGTGCTGCTCTCAAAATGTACCAAAATACTGCAAGGAAGGCTATTCCTTTGGTATTTCCGATCCAGATGGAAGCAGGATGTACTGGAATTCTTTAAAAAAAAAAAAAAAGAAAAGGGAAAGGAAAAAGCCTGTTCTACTGAAATACGCAGCCTGTTTCTGAGATTAAAGGTTTGGAAAATATTGGAAAGTAAGCAATGTAGCTACCTTCTTGAAGATTCCTTCATCACTCTAGATTACTGTCATCTGCCACGAGGCTGCAAGCAGGAGAGGGGAGGTCACCTCACCGCAGTGCCCCCACACATTTCTCCCTCTGCCACAGGCAGCTGACATCTCAAAGGTGTGCAGAAGCACCCAGAAGTGTTTTCAAAAGGCCAAATGTCTCTAAGACACTTAAATTCCACTGAAGTAGTACGACTAATTGGCTCAATCAGCCCAAGACTTTTTGAAATGAGGGATGCTTAAGTGCATGATTGGTCAGATACATATATTTGAAAACTCTTCTCTTAACGTTCTATTGCAAACTTACTGTAATATTCTACTGTAAACTTACTGTAACCTTACGGTAAAGTTTTACTATAAACTTACCGTAAAGTTCCCCATGTTTACAGAGTGGGGATATCAACAAAAAAATAATGGTTGTGGATACCTTTATCAATACACATAGAGTTTTCAGGAATTAAAGGGGAATAAGCATAAAATTCAATTAACTCACATTAATTGAAAGTAGAGACAATTTAAAGCAAGAGCAAAGCAAAAACAACCAAGAGAAAGTTTAGCAAAATCCATAAATTAAAAGAAAATATATTCTGAAATGTATCCAAGAGCAATAGCAAATGTCACCAAGCCAGGCTCTTGGAGTGGTTTCAAGTTCTCCAGTGATTTTAATCTTCCCTTTAGCCAGTGTTGATTAAAACTTAAAAACATGACTAAAACCACCACACTGAAGAGCACAAAAGATAAAGGAAGCATATGAGGTACAGATTCCTAAATCTGAGATCAGAAAATGCCAATTTTCTGACAATGCAAAAGCCCCTCATTTTTTTGAGGCAAAATAGGCACGTTGTCTTTTAACTCTGTGGCTCAAATCCAATACATGTAGGTTCAAGGATGAAAAAGAGCTTTATTAAAGTCTCATTCTTCAGTGCAGTGGCTGAATGAGAGTCTAAAGCCAAATTCAGACAATCAGTCAAGAAAATGAATGTCAGGAGTGAGCAGCCAAGGAGATATTTGGACAGTGATGATAGTCAAATACTTTATCTGGAGGGGAAAATATTGTTCCATTACATATATATCTTCTCCTTGAAATATAAAACACTCACTGCATAAAGCGTATGGAGATGTTTCCACAGCAGAAGACAGGCATAGAAAAATTTCTTTATCATGTCTTCTCTGCTGTCAGCTAGTAAAATAACTTTACCTTATCTCTTTTCACTAGTTATTAATAAATTCTTTTTCTTATGATAAAAAATGTTCTATGCCAGGAGATTGCTCAGCATTTAGGGTGGTCTCCGAAAGTTCAGTATCAGTGTAACTTGAAATGAGCTGTGAACTAGCATCATCTGTGCATCTCCAGTATCAAGAATGTCATTGAGTAACATGGATGCTTCTCCATCTCACATGCACCAATCCATTTCATCACAGTGACAAGCAGCACTGTCAGTCACAAAAACGGAGTGACTGCGCTTGGCTACCCAGCAGAAAACAGATTTCAGAGAGCTCAAACATGTCAAAAAGCTACAAATGGACCGACAAACAGAAATTAAGCAAAATTCCCTGACTCATCCTTGCTGGATGCATCACTAAGGCACTCCCAGCAGTTGTCCTGCCTGAAACAAGGAGGCATAACTGAGGAGTAGAAAAGCTATTCCTTCTCCCCCAAACTGCAGGCATAACTTCACCAAGAGACAGAGAGTTGAGTAACTGGGGGAAGCCTGCACTGTGTTACCTTCATGCCAAATACTTCCACTACTCAGGCTTATAATTTGATCGTCTCTCACACAAAAAAAATTACTCAATTTGCTTGAAGGAAGCAATGAAATCATACAATGATGACTACAGACATATCAAAGCATGCAGCCAGACATATTAAATAACTGATATGAATCCACAACTACTATCAAACAAGGCATTTTGATCCATGTTGTTGGGTTACCTGTTCTGTTGTATTTGTATTATTGGTTGTATTCTGGAAGCCCTGGACAATGCCAGAAATACATAGTGGCCCAGCAAAACCCAGCAAGTCAGCCAAATAACGGAATGTGCTGCTGAGAAGAATTGGTCGTCCAAAAGCACTGTACATGGCTAACCATATGGAGGGACTCCGATTGGGCTGGTCTGCTACCTTTTTCTGGAGAACAGAGAAACAGACATCATTGCATCAAGAAAAGGCTGCCCTGGCTGTATACAGCAACTTCCATTTCCTTCCTTTCTGGATGCCCAGATAGTTCTTGAAGGATGTTTTGGAGTAGATGAGGTAGCAAGCATGCTATAGATATCACAGATTTCAGACATACTTCACAGCAAATTCAAATCCTGCCTCCTCTTGGTGACTGTGGTTCTTCACCTCTAAATCCTAACACTTTTTTGAACCTGTGAACACAGGAGTGCAAATACAGATTAATCGTACTGGCATGTAGCCATTGCTCCTTGTCACATGTGTGCTCATGAAAGGTCTGACCTTTCAAGCTCTTGCTCATATGGGTAATCTTGACTTTCACAGTAGCTGTGAAACCACTTGATCTAATAAAGGCTTCTGATATGAGAAGGAGATTGAAGGAAAAAACCATGGACAGATACCTGCAAGAACATATTTTATTTTAGTTTATCGGATTGTTTTTAATCTCTTGGATCCCTGCCAGGAAAAGGTACTTCAGCCAGTCACTAGTTACTGTGCTCTGTTCCTGATTTCTAGGCATCTGACACTTCCTTTCCTCCTCTTTTTGACATAACAGGTAAAATCCACAGTGGTACATGAACAGCAGATATAGGAAATTTCTGATGGTCCTTGGTTTTAAAAATTGCATTTTCTATTGCACCATCCCAAAAGTAAGATTTTCCATTGACTCTCAGAGCAATTACACAGGACTTTGGTTGATAGAGTAAACCAAATGTAATATCAATGTGTTAAATGTACTTTGAGATATATGATGTATGATGCATTAGTATGTGGTTTGAAATATCTAAACCACTTGTACAGAAGCTAAAACAAAAGTAATAGGTTGTGTTGGAAGGTAAGGTTAAATCAGCTAAGGCTCGTTCTAACCTTCATTCCTCTGGATCTATGCAGTATCACAACTCTTGCCCTAAAACACCAGCCAGTGCATATCTCTGTATCTCGTCAGAGGAGTTCTGATATTTCTGAGGTCCTTTCAATTTAAAGAAGAAAGAATTTTACCTAACATATCCATGGTCTGCAGAGCTTGTGTTTCAGGCAGCAGCTTTTGACACTTGAAAAGAGCATCTGACATTTTTCAAGTGGCACGGGTGCCTGCAAGCCAAGCCCCTGAGTGTTCACAGAGACATTTTAAGTATAGCCCGGTAATAATAACCCCCTGCAACAGCAAATTAACCAAAGAAAAGCAAGTCTGCCCATAATTTTTCTTCTTTTAATCTCTTTTCTCTATATTTTCCCTTTTATGCCACTTCAACAGGGAGATAGAATATGTGCATGGTGCCAAAATTGTACAAGTGTACAGGAGGGCCAGAGAGCTGTTTCCTGGCTTGCGGAGAGTAAGCCAGCCTGGTCGTATCCAGTGCTGAGAAGATTTAGTGCAGAGAAATAAGCAGCATGGGGACAAATCAGAGTCAACGCTTCCCAAAGTGGTAAGATTGAAACTGCTTCTTCTGTTGAGGGAAAGAGCACAAGGGCTTCATGTGAGTTTCCCAGACGAAAGGCTCTGAATTTGTTGCCTAATGGGTTTTGAGCTAAACTGCACTAAAGGGGCTACTGTCATCCTCCTCAAAGAAATAACCTGCACTTTAACAGCTTGATAGAAGCTAATCTAAGCTATTAGGAAAACACATCTGACATCTTTTGGGAAAAATTGCACATACTATTCCGGGCATTCAATTAATGGTAAATTCGGTAAATGGCAATAGTTAATTCTTAGCTCTTTAACAAGATTTTACTATTTTAATGGCCATTTTCACTACTAGTACAATTTATATAATTTTCATCACTACATGAAATCTATATACTTTTCATGGAAAAAATACTCATTAAATAAAATTAAATTATTGTAATAATCTCTATTGCTAAACACTGTTGTTCTCTTCTAATTGAGACTAGCTAAAGTATTTAATGAGGAAGACAGAAAAGTGGATTTTTCTTCTAATCTTAAATTCTTGCCCAGAATGGTTCTTGAAGGTCAGTGTTACAGACTTGCAGTACAGTTTGGTTTATGTGTCAACCCTGCCCTTTATTAAGGTGCTGAAGGGTGATCTGTCAATCTCCACTCATTATAGTTCTCTGATGACTCCTGACATGTCTCAGTAAAGATATTATTGAAAGTTTGGCCAATGTCATAAGAATTAAATGAAAAAACTGTATGGCCTTTCTGAATCAGACAAACATTATGATTACTTTCTGCAGTCTCCCAGTCCCCTTAGTGCTAGCGCTGACAACAACAATGTGATGCTGAAGGGCAACTCTCTGTTCTTGATTTCTAGGTATCTGACATTTCTTTCACTTCTCTTTCTGCCATAACAACTAAAATCCACAGTGGAATACAAATAGCACATATAGGGAATTTCTGGTGATCCCTGGCTTTAAAAATTACATTTTCTATTACACAAAAGTAAAATTTTCTATTGACTCTCAGAGCAAATTACACAGGATTTTGGTTGATGGGGTAAACTAAATGTAATATCAATCTGTTAAATCTACTTTGGGATATGTGATGTATGATGTGTTAGTATGGGGTTTGAAATATCTAAACCACTTATATAGAAACCAAAACAAAAGCCACACAATAACAGAAACAGGATAAAATTGGGAGAAGAGGGGCAAATTATGTGACAAGTGCTACCACATGTTGTATATTAGCCCAAAAATTTGGCTGTGAGAGTTTCATTGTATATGATCAAGGACTTCTTTATCTTCTTAATCTCACTAAAGAATTTTTATGTTCAGACAAAATGTCAATTAATATAGTAGGAACTCTGAATATATATTAAAGAGTATATATGAATTTAATGTCATGGGTCTAGCCTTAGGTGCATCACTGCTTATTCCGCAGAAGTAACCTTTCTACCCACAGCTAGATTTTCTCCAGGATTCTTAGAAAGACACGATAAAAATACTGTAATATGAGGTATTTCTGTTTCTACAGGAGGCTGTCCAAGAAGGCAAGAAAATATAGCATGTCCATCTTTCAGAATATTTACCAATGGCAGGAAATAATGAGAACAGGAAAGCCAATTTTAATGTGTTTTTTTGGCAATCCTTTGTTTAGAAAAATATCTCAAATTGTATATTTAAGTAAACTTAAGTATATCAGAATAGCTTGTTTTACCCATAGTTTTGAAGTATCTTCTAATTTGAAAGAACATACACCATGTTGTTTTCTTATGGTATGCTCTATTATCCTATGTTGCCAAACACAATCTATGAAACCAGTAACAAATGTCTTATATCTTACTGTAAGGGTTGGAATTACTTTTGCAGTAGTAACTACCAGGCTAACAGCCAATTAGAATGTTAATACCAGTTATTTAGCCTTCTATTTTATTGTTCTATATTACCTGATATTACATTAAAATTACTGATAACTGGTTTTAATATTCTGTAAAATACCATGTAGCATGAAAGTGACATCAAAATTAAATTACTTGATGTTTTGAAAAGATTACTTATAACTAAAGAATTTTTCATGGTGAATGCATTCATAATGCTAAGAACTGCTTCATGAAAAATTGGAAATGTAAAAAACCATAGAGCAGAATAATGAATTCAGATTTGTCACTAAGGAGTTGCAAAGGTCTCATGTTAGAGGGCCAACCTTCATATAGTAGGACCCAGAAGAATTCAGCCTAAATAGTTGAATACAAATCTCAAAAGTTTTTCACTGACATTAAGGAAAACAAGAAAAAGTTTAACCCTGTGTTCACAGACTTCATGGTTATGCAAGAGGCAATATGCTATTTTAGCAGAATATAGCAGACATAAAAAGTTAATCTCAGACCTACTAGTTTACACTCCTATTTAGTTAGGACACAGGTTTGGAAAACTGTGATTTTGAGAAAGCAGTCATCAAAATTTAACCTGACTTCTTCCCCTCAAGCTATCATTTGGCAGAGAACCTTATCTGGTTTCAGTCTTCATAGCATGCAGAAGGGATAGCAAGACAACATCACGTGAGCTATCTCAAAGGCATTTTACAGTACAGAATAATCACGATCATGTTCAGCATCTTTCATCAAGGGGTGATAAGAAGGGTTTGGAATAGAGCAGACGCCTTCTTTCTGCAGGGCTGTGGAGCACTGCTGAGATCAGCTATCTTCAGGCACAGGCAGGGATAACGCCACTTAATCCAGAGGATGCTGGGGAGCTCCCCTCACCAGCTGCCGAAGATTAGTGTAAAACACACTCTGGCATCAGAGCCAGTGACATATTATCTCTTCCATATTGCAGACCACACTTCAACCTGAAGAATTTTCAAAATTCTGTGGCTGTTTTCTGGCCCAGCCATGCACAAGCCAACACGTTTCTCCATGGGAGTGAACTGCAGTGAGTTCCACTGCCTTGCTCTTTGGATTGGCTCTAGCCCTTGGGTTTACTTTAACTTTATCTATGAAGTATCAGTTTACTTTAGGGTTAGAGCCTGGTTTTGAATATTAGCACAAATGTGCTAGAGGCTGTGGTAATCTCAAGACTTTAAACAACTACAGAACCAAAATACCTGATGTAAGCCAGCTTTATAAACACAAGTGCATGTAACTGCATGGGTACATTTATACAAATCCCCATACGTGGCAGAACACGCACCAGGGAAGCTACACGCTGGAAGTCTGCATTCATGCACATGAGCAATAGAATATTTAACATGCCTTTTGGCATCCAGTGGTGTATTTGTGCAGGCACACACAGTATTTGCAGATGTATATGAGCTACAGCCAAATGCTTGCACCCAGTCACCATGCCTGTCATTAAGAACAGCACAGAGACTCAGATCCTCGGGGCATGCAGGTGCCCAAGACTCTTCGGTCTCCATAAATAGGATTTAGGCAACAAGTTGGCCTAAGGGATGCACTTCTCCTGCTGTGAAAAGTTCAGTTTCTATGACTCAGTAGTTATCTGCTTAAAGAAGAAGGGTCTTTGTCTCTAGTCTCTATAAGCATCGACTGCAAGAGGAAAGAGAAGCAACCTAAATCTATTAGAACAGGAACAATTATACTGATTCTGCTTTCATTTCAGAAAGCAGAGAAAGGAGCCTGCAGCTCCATCATTTGCTGGGAGCAGAGAGCTGCTCCTCCAGCTTCCCCTTGCACTGCAGTTCTAAACCGTACACTGCATGGGAACACATATATCTGGTGTGTGCAGGAACAGACTTTATATGCTTTTGTCCTTCATGCTACATTTTCCAAAGTGGCCTCTGAAGGTTTGCATTCTCTCTGTTTATGCTTGAGAATTGACATGTATGTACAAATCATAGAGGCAGGCTCTTGAATCTTTTCTCTTTCCTGCTACACAAAATCTTTCTCTTTTTTGGGGGGACAAATCACAAGCTTTAAGCATAAACAAAGCACCAGTTTTGCATAAATGCATCCATAAGTTTCTCTGGAAACTCCTGCCTTACGCACTAAGTTTGCCCAGCACTGGTTTTGTACAGAGTCTGGCTGGGATGGAGTTAATTTCCCTCATAGCCCAGACGCTGTTGTGTTTTGGACCAGTGACTAAAACACTGATGACAAGACACCAGTGTTTTGGCTATTCTTGATTTGTGTTTTTGGCTATTTCTCTTTCTGGAGAAAAAAAGTTAAGATGAGTGTTTCCAGCTGAAACTATGGACAGAATGTATTCTAATTTAAGATGCTGTCACAAACAGCTAAGATTTAAACAAAGCTTTCACTTTTAAAATGAAATCTAGTGATTAGTCCATTACAGTTTTAGTTTCCAGTTGCTCTCAATCTGGCAACTCTCCTCTGCTGTAAATTCACTGAAAACCAAACAGTAACCATCGGTTTGGAACTTCCTAGGCCAAATTTCACCTTGGAACAAACAGTCCCAAGTTAAAAATTACTGAAACTAGGGTTTTGTAGAAGCACAAAAACTTTGAAGTGATACTATAATTTCTAAGGCCAAATGGTGACATGAACAGATTATTTGGTTACCTTTTGTTCCTCATACGCTTCTTTGAGACAAACATAATTTGTCAATGCTCTCATTGCGATTGGAAGCTTTCCGATTGCCTTCAGGTCCACGGGTTTCTTGTGAGCCGATATAATAAGAGTATTCATCCACCAATAAGTCGCCTTTGAGAGCAAATTGACAAACGGCTGCAGAAACCTCACCCCCAGGTCTTGCAGATCCTCTGGTGGCTTTACTTTCTGAGGGTTCATGAAAAAAACATACCTCTGGAGAGGAGAAAAACAGATAGTATGTACTCGGGAATTATCTTACTTATAGTAATTTGTAATAAAAATTATGTATAATAAAAATACAGTCTCAAATTTGCATTTAAAGGCAATTGTACATTCAGTTTAAATATAAAATCTAACAGCATAATTGGAAAGAAATTGAGTAATATGGGATGTGGACATAGATCTGCAGCCTACCAGCACCACCCATCTCTATCTGAACAGCAACATAAAAAGAATTCTTGGGATATATTTAAAATTATCATGGGTAAGAACATATGCTAACTTAGACATTCATTACATATACAATTTACCTGAATTAACATAGCATATACTGTATAGATTACATACACACACACCCACGGACAAATATGCATGTATATCTATCTATATATAATATGTATCATATATATATATGTATATATGTATAATGTATATGGATATATGTATATGTATATATAGGTATAGGTATAGGTATATGTGTATGTATGTATGTGTATATGTATATGTATATGTAGAATATGTATATCTATCTATATGTAATATGTATGTACTCTCTCTGTGTATACACACACACAGACACACATACATACCCAGTCCAGGGGACACATGAAGGGCATGCAGTTTACACCTAAGCTAAACTTTAGCCCAAACTTGACATAAGTCAGAGATGCTGGGACTAAAGACCCATCTTCATCCCCGAGATACTATCAATATTTTTCAGATCCTGATAAAAGAACCACATACCCTCACTCGAATGACATTGATCTCCACAGCCATCAGCAGCCCATAGAGAATGACCATAATTCCAGTGATGCAGAAACGCAGCTGAGAAAAAGGCACACCGTCCTGGCAGTATCTGACAAGCTTGATCGTTTTGGTGACAAAGGCCATTATCCAGTAAAGAAAGAGAGCTGTAAAACAGGTGCACATGGATAATTTAAAAACACGATAAAATTTAGCTATGCCAGCGCTGCAGAAGTTTTGGGGCTCTCAGACAGAAATATTCCATGGCTTAATTCAATGCAAGCATGATGTGCCTCTACATCATCCGCGTGCAAGATGGCACAGTGTGATGTCAGCCCAAGTCAAGAACTTGGTTTTGAGAGATTTGCTTTGCACTTTTTTTTCCCAGATCGCTATTGTCTTTCCTGGGCCACCACTTTTCAAAGAGGTGAATCTTCATACAATTACAAAAGTCCACTGGAGCTAATCAAAAACTTTGTATTTAACATGAAGTAAAAGTCATGTAACTTGACATATATCCTATTGCCTCTTTGAAAAAGCAGGATGCATTGCAGGTTAGCATATAGAAATATGCTCGTAAAATGAGTTAATATAGTTTAATTATATATTAAACTATATAATTAATATATGAACTATAGTTTATATAGTTCAATTATATCCTGCATCCTGGCTTGTATCTGTCAATGGCTCATTCAAGTCTTTGCATTATAGGCAATTTGGACAGCACAATTCTACGTGCTGCAATATCATCTGGTCAAATTTTTCTGACCGTCTCCTGACTGAGACAGTAGACCGCAGAATCAGAACACTGAAACAGTAGACTCTCAGAATCAACTGCAAAGGATGCTGAGAAACAACAGCATAGGATGGTTTGTGATCAGATTATTACTAAAAATGAACTTTTAAAATAGCCCTTTTGAATGAAGACAATTTTTTACTTCAAAATAATGAGCAGTGTTAAAAAATACCTAAAAGCTCATACTAGAAATATAATAGGCATACTAAGCTTTCCCTTTTGTCACAATTTTTAAAAATAGTTTTCAATGTGTACCTTAAAAAAAGATCCAATAACTGCTACAATAATACTCATTCAAAGAGCAGAGAATTACTCTTTTCTCTTTTAATATTTCCATGCATTTCACCATCCTCTTCAATTTAAGTAAGCTGACTTTGGCTATACTTCTGGGTTTTGTAGGAGTACATAGTTATCAGACTTAGACTTACCCAGCAGTAACTTTGGAAAATTCGATGTTTCAATATTATGGTAATAGACTAATGGATACGGGGCCAGCCACAAATCCCATTATAGCTGGTAGAAAGAGATGCAGATGGCGAGATTTCATGTGTCTGAAAATAAGTGAGGTAAAAATTAGTGAATTTAGTGTCTTTTTTCATGACTGTTACATTCCTAAGTGTGCTGCTAACCTATTAAGGAGAAAAATATGATTTTCCTAGAGACAAAAAGACAGTTTCCATGTGAATGCTTTAACTTCTGTCAATATTTACTTGCTGCTATATCTTGAGAGGAGAATAACAAAGTGCTAAGAACAATTGTTTCACCTTCATCCCATTAGAATCTCAATAGTTCATGAACTGAGGGCCCCTAATTTTGTGGGGAAACTCCTTACGCCTTACTAGCCAGGCCATCACACACTAACACTATACATTAACGAATGCAATTAGCTTGGCTATCCACCAAACTTATCACTTACGTGTCAGAAACTATGCCCTCTGCTATTTCACACACATGTACAAACAAGAGGGTGAATGTCAGGATCCACCGAAGGTTGTGTCCAGGGAAGTGCAGCCAGGTATTGTGGTGAATCTGGACTTTGGAGCTCTGGCTTCCCCAGCCTGAGAAATAATAGTAATGGAAAAGGAAGGTTATCACAAAGCCAGCCAGTTAGTGACCTGGTTATCAATTCCTTATTCTAATCCTTAGGTCACACGCAGTAGTATATAAACAACACAAAACCCCTACAAGACTCTGAGGGCTGCTGTTACTAATAAGATGACCCAGGAGTGCCTGAGTTGCCACGTAGCCCAGCCATAACTTAGATTTGACCCTGAGGACAACAGGACAACAGACTTCCCTAGGAGAAGAGGCCCCTGGACAAGAACAAAAATGGGAAAACCAAAAGAAATGTCTCAGAGTCTCAACTTCAGATAATAGGGCCTGAAAGGTCTTAAGTGAAGGTGTCATTGCAGTTTTCCCAGTCACAGACAAGAGTGAGCAAAGTTTCCAACTTATATAAAAGTTGCATCCTCCAATGAGACCAAGAAGAGATATATTTACCTCAAACTAATGAAATTTATTATCTCTGTATCACGCCTGGTTGGGAGCGCTGTCTCAGGGGATGCTGAGCAACAATTTCCCAGTCTCTGCTCCTCAGGCACAACCCAGCCTCTTTCCTGCTGCATTTCTAGCACAGCACCAGGGCTCAGCTCATCAACAAATCACTCTTGAAGCCTGTTTCCATGTTATCACCTCAGATGGCACCTATACTTCTCAGGCATGACCCTCTCTGAAGCCAGCCAACTGACAAGAAGCCAGACACCAAGGACCTGAGGGATGTGGCAGTGCAGGGGGGAGCTGGGGACTGATCAGAGGTGAGCCTCTCATGGTGGCAAGTCTTGTCCTGGTTTAGATGATTTTTTTTTTGCAAGAATATGTAAGTTAGAGACACTCCACTGTCCTAAATTCTTCAGAGGAGATTTATCATTTTTTTACTTTCGTTCCTGTGAAATAAGATTATGTCCTTGCTTTACTTCTGTTTACAAATGTTGACAAAAGAGGTAATTAATCTACTTTTGTTTCCTACACTTCTCCTAGCCTTAGATCCAAGTCACTTATTTTTGATATTCTCTGAAGTTCACATAGCTTGAAGGCAATTCAGACCCACTGTCCTAATCTTCTAATAATAGCTAAGGTTGCAAGTTGCTAATTTAAAATCTGAAGTAAACTTCTCAAGACACAAATTTCAAAGCATTTGGATCCGATTTCTCTAGTTCTCATCCATCTTTTCATGCTGCTTAGTTTAGATTTGTATCTAAAATTCCTGCCGTTTCAAACAGGTTGATTTTAGGTCCTCTGGGTCAAGCCATTCTCTCTCTCTTCTTTTCAAAAAATAATAAATACAGAGCATCCAGTGATTTTCACCACAGGCCTCCAAGCATATATTAACATGACCGAGTATAAATACATGTTCAAGCGTTTAGAGGATGGCACAGCTCCATGGAGTAACTCACCAATGAACAAAATCGGGAAGGTGATAAATAGTAAGAAGACATGGGGAACCAAGTTGAGGGCATCCACAAAGCAGACATTTCTTAGGACACCAGCACTGATGTTGTAGGCTGAAGCATTGTCATTGCCACAAAATGCGAGCCTCATTGCTTCCAGAAGTTCTGACTATTACTACAAAAAAGAGAGAATAGATAAAATGAAAAGAAACAGAAGGAACGCACTGAAGAACCCATAGAGAAAAATTTAGTTGTATTTTGAAAATGCTTATGGACCCACTAGAATGAAGGTTGTGTTTATATTAAACATACTGTTTAGTCCATAACCATTAAGTACACTATGCAATGTCTTCTAGTGTTCATTTTATACGCAAATGTTATGATGCAAGTTCTCTATGAGAAAGAAAAAGAAAGTTTTGGGAAAAATTATTTCATTTTCTCTTTAGAAAAGTCAAATGCACACAAGCTGACTCCTATGTGTTACTGCTTCTTTGATGAGCCAACATTCTCTGTGCAACATCTCTGCTCACATGATTTGTTGCACTGCATTTCCCGTGCAAGCTCTGAATCTTTGATATTTGTGATTTGGCAGCTTTGCATTCACTGATATTTAGCATTTCTTCATTGGCCCAGAAAACAACAGTCACATACACTAGTCATTACAGCTAATTGCCAGACTCTTCAACGAAGTATGCTGTATTGGAGACTGCATAGGTAGTAAATCAGCATTTATTCTTGATCCTGAAAATCCTTATGCATGTGCTTAGCTTCATCTAGGCAGTTCTCTGATTTCCATGATTTCTCATGAGATTATCTTTGTACACTAAGATAAGCTCAAGTGTTCGTGCTTGCAGTGTATGGGCCATAGTATGACCCAGAGTTATGGCCAACTTCTGGCTTTTATCAACCTGTGCAGTTTATTTATTCATTCTTCTCTATAGGGAGATGAAACAAGATTTCAATCAAAATGTTTCCTTGCTGGTATCTTTTCCTGAGACTTACACTCAGCAACAGAGTGCTGTGGAATGGGTTGCATAAACACATTTGCTCACATCAGTTTTTTTCCAAATTTTACACACTAAAATGGGAAGAATATCTTTAATTAAGTAAATATACACATACTTCGGTGAATGCATCTTTCTGCAACAGCATTGGCATTAGTGAGTTTTGTGGAATCAGAACAATATAGACATGCAAAAAATGCATGAAGACAGTTTGGAAAAAAGTTAGTTGAATGGAGCGAAAAAGGCTTTCCTCATTTGCTCAGCTAGTTCAGATTAGTTCTGTGAGTCTAGCTGTTTAAACAAAGTAAGCATAGCAAGGTAAGCAAAAAACTATCCAAGTACTCCCTTAGAGAGAACAGAAACATACAGATCTTAAAAAAAATACAGAGTTCAAAGAAGCACTTTGAACCTCTGCTAAACCCTCTTTTTGCTTTTAACTAACTTTTTGTTGGATCTGAAAAGCATAATCCATATTGAAACACATCAATGAAATTTTTAAAGGGGTTTTCATTGAAAAGAATGTGATAAATGTAGTTGCTTTTCCAAACATGTCAGCAATTTATGGTCTGAAATTTGCCAGAAGTTAGGTATAAGAGTCATATGGTGGATCACATTCTGCAAAAATGCATGCATGTACTTACCGTGGTGAAAAAGCTGATGGGCAACCCACTCAATCTTCAGTAAAGCACAATTTGCTGGAGAGATTGGCCCATTTTCTATAATGAATAGGGTGATTCTCTTATTTTTATATAAAAATATATTCATAAATTCATATGACTAGTAACACAAAAGAAACATGTTAATATGAATTTTGTCTGAATAGTCTCTGGAATTACCAGCAAAACAAACATGGTACTTTTCAAAAAGCTACACAGAGATTGTTTGTTTTTAATTTGTAAAAGCTTGACATGTTTCCTTTAAGAGAAACATAATGGTACTGACAATCTCTTGAAAATCAGAAGTGTTTCCTCATTTTTATGGAGGGTCAGAAGTCCAAGGGAGTTCTCTGCTGGGAATTTTCCCCCCTTTCCCACAAAGAGGACTCTTTTCTGAGGCACTCTAAGATGCCATCGTGGTCTAGTATTTGTATTGGTAACGAAAGGCAGGAGGATGCTAAGTTCAAATGAACACTGAATCATTGACTTCCAGTGTAGCTTTTGGCTTCCAGTCAAAAATAAATCTGGGAGAAAGGATTAATGCCATGTCCAAGAGAAGCTAATGGAATTGTTGTTTATTTTTCCCACTTTTCTGGAAGGGAAATGTAGGCAGTAGATCTTCCTGTGGAAGAAAAGACTATTAACTGCATGAAGAGTGTTATCTGCTATCTAGGGTAGAACCTACCATCAGTTTGTAGAGGTTTTGTATTACTCCTCAAACAATAGTCCCTAAATGCCCTCAAGAAAGATGCATCTTTGAAGAATTACGTCTGAAGCTTCACAAGAATCCGTGCTGTGCCTACTTTTGCGATGGCGTATGTCCAATAATACATTCTTAAAACCAACAGTCTTTTACACATTGGGAGGGCTGAAGAAAGAATATGGTCCAATTGTTAATACTGGTGTATAGAGACAGTGCCCATTATACTGATGACAGTTTCAAGAGTAGCTATAAACAGCCTATTCATAATACTTTTGTTACAAGTTAGTTTCAAAAAAGATGAAGAATTTGTCTTCTCTTAAAATGAGGAAGAAGATGAAAGAGCCTGGGTTGGTTAGTTTGTTTAAAGAATACACAAACAGAAAATCAAAAAGATTGCTTTGCATGTGAAATGGGGTAGAGAAATTGATAATAAATTCTCAAGTTTCTTAAATCTGAAAACACTTCATCATTAATCAGCACATTCAGTGCCTATGTTCATTAAACCTTCACAGGGTTAAAATCTATCAAAACATTCTGGGCAGTGTCATGCTGCCATGTTGATGCAATGCAGCTTATTATTTGGCCTCATAAAATGCCCACCAGGTACAACTTCCATTTTTAGCAGCACCCACTTCAGGACACACATCTAATACACCATGGCACTCACAGGGAATAGAAGAGATAGAAAGAACTGTAGAAGCATTAATAGTTCAGTGATCCTTCCTTCCTCCCTTCCATCCATTTGTCCATCACCACTGTGCTAGGAACAAACTGTGACTGCAAGTGGAGGACTCACATTCTGCATCTATTGATGGATGCCAACTTTCAAAGACACTTTCTGGTGTTTAAACAGAGAGTCTGCTAGGTTCTCTGGATCTTCAAGAGTGGCATATAAAAATACATTGCAGTACACTAGAGCTCTAAGAAATATCTCCAGTGTGCCTCACAGGGAGCAAGAAGCAACTCCATCACTCCCTCAACCACTGGACCTTACTCTTCTTTATGGAAAACTTACATACATAGGAGGCTCAGGAGATGTACTGATATGCAGGCTCATCACCCCAGGCATAAAGCATGCCATGTAGTTTCTACTTCGCTCAAGTTTCCCAGAGAGGGGTAATATATCGCATGAAATTTTGCTGATGTGTAAAGAAGGATGCTTTGCATTTGGAGTCAATGCAAAGGAGACTCCCATTCGGTTCGAAGCTGAAATTAGCCACTACTTTCTGGTGCATCAGGGCATGCCACCAGAAGCTCATTCTCATCGACCTCAAAGTTTAACAAGCTGTGTTCATTTCCAAAGAAGGACAGAAAGAAAAGCCCCTAAGGCAGAAGAGCAAGTCCTTGATTTCTCCAGACAGTACAGGGCATTTTACAACAGTACTTGTGCAGCTCCACCAAAGTTAATAGGAGTTGGACCATGATGGGTTTCCAGATGAAATCGTTCATCCAAGGAAACTGTACACTTCAGTCTCCTTAGAGCTCCAAACAGTGCAAGTAGTGTGTTCAAAAGCTTCAGACTAATTTGAGATGCTAAGTTGCATTTTCAAACAGTACTTCAGTACTAGGATTTAAGACTAAAGCTATCTTTAATAATTTTTTAAAATTTAATTTTTTTAAAAAGGCTTCAGATATACTGGCCTTTAATTAGTCCTAGTTTTGAAAAAATTAACTCAGAAAAGCTGAGCATGGAAATGAAGACAGATTGGAAGATCTTGACTGCAAATAGCCAATGAAAGGCAGAGGAAAAAGGCACTATTCCTCCCTCTTCCATAAAACCGCCAGATTTCATTTCATGAAAAGAAAATACAAAATGGAAGAACAATTTTAGAAAGAAAACATGAAGAACTGCAGTTGTGCTTACTGTTGTAACTCATCAAAAAGTGCAGTTGGATTTAGAAAGGAAGATGGAACCCTTTTACGACTGATCACTGACCAAATCTTCATAATAATTAAACTATTCATAATAATTAAACTATTCTTCCATGGCTTTAACTCTTCTAGTAAGCCAATGCTGGACCTCAGTCAGAACTAGATCTGTAGAGAGGTGAATCAAGGCATCTTATCTATGCAAGGAAGTGGTATTTGTTTTGCTCAGTGCTAAGCATTGAACTAGTACATAATCACACTGAAGATTTTTTATATTTTTCCCGAGCACCAGTTTTTGATCATTGCCAAAACCAGAATGCTGGTCAACACCGCACAGCAGTCTAACTTCGTAACAAATAGCTATGCTGAAGATCTTTCAATTAGTGCTAACCAAGAGGGAATGCAGTGCTGACTCAAGGTTTCCCACAGTGTAGCCAAAGATTTTCTTCTTAACAAAGATGAGGAGACGGACTTTTAGGCCACAGTAAGTATGCAGGGAAAGATCAAAGAGGAAAAACTTGTCTGCAGAGCCACACGAAGAGAAATTTGAAGAGACTTCTGTTGTCAAGAGATGGAAGAGATAACAGCAGTTATTGATGCAACTCAAAGAGGTTACCATTATCACATTCCTTAGCAGCAGTTGTCCTCCTACACCTTCCAAGACCCCTTCCTAGCACAAAGCTGGGCTCCCTGGAACAGTACATCGGTTAATTAAGCAGAAAAGTCAAATGGTTTTATCATTCTCAGCAGTCTGCTGCTGTAGGCAGCTGTCTGCTTCACCTTAAGCTCACAGTCCAGTTAGAGAGCCACACAAATACTAGTTCAGTCTCACAATTAATGGTTTTAACGCTGTTCCCAATAAGCCCTGCTCACAATAAGCTTGAAATGAGTGCAGAGTTGTTGCAGTTGCCCTACTTGA